GAAAAGAGTTGGCAGACACACTCAGCATTTGGGTCCATTGCTGGGTTTTTGATGTGTGAGTCCCTCAGCAGCCTTTTATGTGAGGATGTGAAACCTGCCATCATCGGCCAAGTAAAAATTTGAGTTGAGATCATCTTATCTGTATTTTTTTTTCAATTGCCCAGAATATTCTCATGATGGTTAAAGATCAGGCCATACCAATTTTAAATTCATGCTCCATTCTATGGTATTTTATGATATAGAAGAGAAATCCTTGCCTGAGACCCAGTGTCATAAAGGAAAGCCATTGGATTAAATTGAGTTGTGAAGAGGATTCCATCATGCGATACGCAGTCAGCTTCCCATCACTGTGACAAAATCCCTGAGAACTGGGAGGTTTATTTTGGCCTGGTCAATTGGCTTCAATACCATTGGGCCTGTGGCAAGACAGACCATTATGGTGCAGAATGTGTGATGGAGCACGGTAGATCAACTCATTGTAGCCAGAAAGCAGGGAAAGAGAGGGAAGAGGGAAGTCTGGTGGTTTCTAGGACATATCAGCAATGGCTCTGCCAGCTCTCCACAGAGCTAAGGCTGGCAGCCGAGGCTTACACAAACAAGGTTTTAAGAGTCATTTCAGATGCAAAACACAGCACATGACGTATTTGTTCTGAGACTGACAAATACATACAGTTTGGTACTGCTTTGGGAAACCCAAGTCTCAAATATCAGCACCCATACTATAAAAGTTACATGGGAGACATTCGTGAAGTGGTTAAGTTACCAGAAGAGTGTGTGTGTGTGTGTGCTGAATGTGTTGATGTATTTGCTTTTGTGAATGTGTGTGTTGTGTGTGTTTTTCTGTGTGTGTTGTATGTTGTATATGTGTTTGTGTGTATATGTATTGCTGTGTGTTAGTGTGTCATATACACTTGTGTTTATGTGCTGCATGTGTATTTGTGTGCATGTGCCTGTGTGTGTGTTTGTATGTGTTGTATGTGTATTTGTGTATGCATGTGCTTGTGTGTGTGTTTGTGTGTATGTGAGTGTATCTGTGCATACGTGTGTGTGTGTGTGTGTGTGTGTGTGTGTGCGCGCCTGTGTGTACTTTGTTATTGTCCCAAGTTTCCTCCAACAGCAGCAGCCCCTCTGTGGAGCCTAGGTGTTGTGTGTATAGTGGTCAGAGGAGAGTTTCTCTACTGATCATTAATCAAACTGTCCTTGTTTTCTGCTTTAAAAAATTTCAACACAGGTTTATATTTAGAAAACCTGAGGAGCACTGAAATGAAAATCAAACAAAACATCAAAAGGTGAAGAACTTGTTTGGGGCTCAGCAGAGACAATGGGGAGCTTTATGTTTTCTGACAGAACTCAAAATCTAAATTTTATGAAAAAAATAATTACTGATCTTTAAAGGGCAAGAAAAATCCAAAGAACCTTTGTAAGTGTTTTGGGAGACAGAAAGATGCTTTGTAACTCTGAAAAAGGGTTTAAGGCATAGCAACAGAGTGGTTACATAATAACTGATTAATATTTTCATACATTAGTAGGAAATACTTTAGACATTTCAGATATTGAGGTTTTGTTTTACCACAGAAAAGCATCACCTTTCTAAACTCAGTATGCATATGTGAATTTATAAGATCTTAACCCAAGTGGCACTTTATTGAATTCAATTCATGGTTTTTCTTTGTTCTTCTCTTCTCTTCTCAACTCTTAGAGATAGGCTAATGGAAGTGGTAGTGAACTTTTCATATCTTTGAAACACCCTTACTTTAATAATGGATGAAATCATATAGTTTCTGGCTATAAGTCTTTACTGATTCTTCGTTCAGGTGAAAAGGTAAACTTTGTAAGGATTGTGTTGTAATCAAATTGATAAATTTTCAAATAATCATGAAAATATCAAGAAGATGATCTCTTTGAGCATACATTTCTAGATGTTAAGTTATTTTCTCTCTTTATTCTGTAATGCTGCTGCTGCTTTGTGGGTTCATCAGTTCCACAGAAGATGAGTCTTCTGTCTTATTCTTGACTGGGTAGGGAAGTATTTTAGGAGACTTGAATTTGCTGGTTTGAGAATGAGCATTTAAAGAATTCAGAGCTATGTCCGTGGATGAGCATGTTCATTGTGCTGGTATGGGAGCTGAGTCAGATCCCAGCATCCACATGCAAGACCAGATGCAGCCATGTCTCTGCATGGGAACATTTACACTGGTTGGCTGGAGAAGAGACAGGAGGGTGGCTGGGGACTTAACTCTTAGCTTAGCTTCAGGTTTGATAAGAGACACTGTCTCCAACTAAGGCAGTGAGTGATAAAACAGAAGACCTGATGTACCCCTCTGTCCTTTGAGAGCACATGCACAAGTGTGCTCATTGTACACATACGCTCATATAATACATGTACTTATCCCATGCTCACATGTATACGTGAACATGCATACAAAATAAAAAGTGACATTTAGAATCAAGGCTTCTAATAAGATACATACATATTCATAAGGATAATGTTCAGAGGCTTTCCTTGAGATGGTTATAGATGGATGGGTGTACATATTCTCATTTCAAAGTTCAGGAATGACATTTTATCTTTACTCAAGTAGCAAATGAGATACGGTATTCTTACAGAATGTTAAAGATTTGAAAGGCCTTTTCCATGTTATGGTGAGGGGACCTAATCCATGTTCTATGCTCAGAATTACTTACAATCTGATAGATTGCCTTCAATATCAACTAATAGTTTTTTGTTTGTTTGTTTTTGGTCTTGCTTTTTCAAGACAGGGTTTCTCTGTGTAGTTTTGGTGCCTGTCCTGGATCTTGCTCTGTAGACCAGGCTGGTCTTGAACTCACAGACATCCACCTGGCTCTGCCTCCCAAATGCTCGGATTAAAGGCATGTGTCACCACCACCTGGCCTCAACTAATAATCTTAATGAGCTCTGTTAGTGAACTGAGCTGACTCCCTCTGACTGGTAGTGTCTGAGGTTGTACTGCTATTTAAACTTCGGTGTATGAGGGTTACAGTGGTATCATCACTCAGTAGCAATTGGAAGAACATTCTGCCCTTAAATGTATGATTGGGAGTATGTTGTGTGTTTGGGACTCATGAAAAATTATTATGTATAATGTTAATGTATGACCCTTCCCTCTACTCCTGACTCTTTGGTTGTATGACATAGTTACTCTTTAAACACTGCCCACCGAATCTAAGTAGCATCTTTCCAATGTTTTGCTTCAGATAGTACATGGATTCAGGAAAGTGTGATATCGACATATTGACATTTGAAGATATGAACGATATTTTTTTATAGATCTTAAGATAAAGAAATAAGCCTTTCTGATACATAAAATTTTTTAACTAGTAGGGCTTTTGAAAAGAATTTCAGGTATTTATGAAATAACATGTATATTGTCATTTACTGAAGTACATAAAGCTAAGAGTGACCAGAAAAGGCTTATAAATGTGCTCCAAAGTATATTTTTATGTGTATACACTTGTATTTTCATCTATATTTATAGGTGTGCAACATAAAAAATAATAGGTCCAGCCTATGTTGTTTGCTCCCAGGGTCCGTGGAAGAGTCTAACAACCAGCTGAGGATTCTAATCTGAGGGATATTCAATGAATCTAAGCACACTGAGCTCTTTAGTCCATTCACTTTATTCTTCCATGGTGATTCAATCTACACAGTTCCTTTTTTGCTCTTACTTAGCTCATCTCAGTTCCTCCTGCTCTCAGTCCCTCCTGCTGTTCTCTCATCATTCTACCTAGTTCTTTCCGTCTCCGTCCTCATCTTTGTTCTTCTCCATCTATTCCCCCAGTGCTCTCAGGGAACCAGTGTATATACACACACAGTAACTCTTTGGCAAAGCAGTTTGAGGCTAGAAGTTTTCAGGGTCACAGAGAGAGGTGATAAGGACCCACACATAAATCAGTAATTGTCAGATTCCAATTGCAACCCAAAAGGGGAGTTCTCTGGTAGGGTCAACTAAAGGCTAAGATCAGTTAGGTAATCTAGGAATATCACCTGGCTGAGGAGGAGTTAAAACTTAATATGCACAAGAAAGAAGCTTGGCACCTATCACAGGCCTGACCTTTTAGGCAATCTTCTTGGGTCAGTGGGCAGTAACTACCTTAACTCAGTAACCAGCAAGTGGCTAAAACATCATCCCAGGAATGTGAGTAGTAAATCTCTTAAACTAAAATCTTATTTAAATAACCCCGGGTGAAGGTAAGGAGTTGAAGATTTAATTGCTAATGATTCTTTTCTCTATCTGTGGGTGAGATGAGCTAATGTTTATCTATGTGCAGTTTTGCCCTTGGAAAAAGGTATCTTTGCTGAAATACTTTTGTCTGGAGAATGGCCCTGGCCAGATACATGTTAATAAAAAAAAAAATCTCATCTGGGGACAGTTATCCAATCACCCCAAATGTATAGGTAAAGTTGTGCCCAAGATTGAGATGCAATCATGAGATTACATGTACACATAACAAGGAAATGCATGGTAAATGGGGAGAATCATAGCTGTTATTACACAAGAGGTTTACAACAAGAGACAACCAGTTCATTCCAAAGGCAGTAACTCCATAATGCCCGTGTGATGGTTTCCTCTAACAGAACCCTCGGTTCTGATAGGTTGACCTTCTGAACTCTAGTTGTCACTGCTGTTTACTCCATGGACTTTTGCTACCAACGGCTCCCAATAGGTGTGTATGTTTTATAAAACATTTAAAGACAAAGAACTGAGTAAGTAGTGAAGAACCTCCATTGTAGCATTTACTAATTGAATTTTCAGATGTGCTTATCAAATTTAACAAAAACTAAGAGTTCTAGATGCTAATACCAAAATATGATGTAAAAAATACAATTATTAAAATTTCAAGTTCACTCATGGGTTCTGATAAGCAGGATTTTATTGAATGGATAAGCCCAATGTTGCCCTGATTAATGGTTTTCTTTACTGCGCTTCTGTGATGTATATTTGCTTCTAATCTAACTGTTGCCCTTTTCTTCTTGCCAGTGTTAAAGAATCCTGTGTGTAAATTATATAGATTTCCCACATCTGACAATAAGTGGATGCGGATCCGTGAGCAGATGTCAGAGAGCATTCTTTCTTTTCATATTCCTAAAGAACTGATCTCCCTTCACATAAAAGAAGACTTGTGTAGGTAAGAGATCTTAATCATCTCTCACATTTCCTTTTTGTGCTTTAGCTAAAATTCTATATCCTAGATATTTAATATTGTGTTTGAAGTTAGCAAATTGAGAAGTGGTTACAATTGAGTAATTCACACATACATTACCTCATACACCTGTGAATGATGTTAAAGTTGACCTCAACTGCCTTTCCACTTCTGTTTCTACCTTTTCCAATATGGATGATATAAAATTTGAACTTATGGGGATCGGGAGATAGCTTAAGTGCTTTCTGTGAGAGCATAAGGACCTGCATGAACTCCCCAGTGGCCAAGTCCAAAAGCAGGTGGCACACATTTGTAGTCCCAGTGCTGTGGGGGTGGAGACAGAGATTACTGGAGCTTGAAGCCAGCTCAGCTTGTTACATGGCGAGGTTCCAGGTTCTGTGAGAGACTCCGTCTCTAAAGAAAAAGTAGAGGGTGACTGAAGAAAACACCAAGTATAGACCTTTGCTCATCTACCTGTGAATATGTGTGCAAAAGTAGCAGTACAGTGCTCCACACATACAAATTGCAAATATGATGCTATTTTGTATCTTGAGCTGCAATTCTTATGCAAAGCTTTGTAGTGAACCAATACTACAAGTGCTGATTCATGTCTTTACCTCATCTGTATAAGATTACTCTTTGGTTCCTATTTGAATTAAAGAAGGGTAGCCTTATCTATGGACTGTGTAACTTAGCAAGGCTTTTAAACACTTTTGGTCTAAAAAACCAACATTTATTAAAGATAACTGATGAGACATGCTAATGGAAAATACTTTTTACAATGAAATCAAATCAATTTCTATAATAACACAGGAGGATTTGTGAGTTCATTGGTTTGTAAGAGCATCTCTGAACCATGAATAATTAGATAATCTGATTTTCTGCTTTTCAAACAAGTCTGTAGTGACTTAATAATACAGAATACTGTATCATATGAAACACATTTAACATCCAAAATCTCATAATTGTCAGTGTTTCCATAGCTTTATCATTCTATAATTGCTGAAACATATAGTAGAAAGTAAATTTTTTGTGCTTGGGTTCCTGTTTCAGGCCAACAGCCATACACCTAAGACAAATGATATTGTACCATTTAGTAGACTCTGCAGTCCCCGGAGATTCCAAATTGACCTATGCCAGAAATAGCACCACAGAGGGTGTTGTTTGTTTTACTCTTTCAGGCTCCTTGCTCTTTGTTCTTTGGGGGGCCCGCCACCCAGGTCCCAAATAAATCACACATGGAGTCTTATTCTTAATTATAAGTGCTCGGCCTTAGCTTGGCTTGTTTCTTGGCAACTTTCCTTTACTTAAATTAACCCATCTACCTTTTGCCTCTGGGCTTTTCCCATTTCTTGCTTCTGTAAATCTTACTCTTACTCCCCTGTGGCTTGCTGTGTAGCTGGGTGGCTGGCCCCTGTAGTCCTCCTCCTTTTCTGGATGCTTCTTCCTTCTCCCTCTCCTCCCAGATTTCTCCTTCTATTAATTCTCTCTGCCTGCCAGCCCTGTCTATCCTTCCTCCTGACTTGCTATTGGCCCTTCACTTCTTTATTAGACCATCAGGTGTTTTAGACAGGCAAAGTAACACAGCTTCACAGAGTTAAACAAATGCAAGATAAATAAAAGTAGCACATCTTAAAATAATATTCCCCAACAGAAGGGTGGGTACACTACTGGCAAAATTGGTTAAAGTAGGAATAAATACATCACTATTGTTCATCAAAAAAGAGCAGTGTTAGCAAAAACTGAAACTTAAAAAAATTAAGGAGGGTCTTGTGAAAGGATAACGGCACTGGTTGTTTGTCGAAAGAGTCACGAGCCATGGTTACCAGAGTTCGAATGGGCTTTGTTAGAGAGAAGAGGGGATAGGATGGGAGAAGCCAGGACTGGAAGAAAGAGAGGCACAGAGAGAGGGGGGAGAGAGAAAGAGAGAGAGAGAGAGGGGGGGGGGAGAGAGAGAGAGAGAGAGAGAGAAGGAGGGATGGAGGGAGAGAGAGGGGGAGAAGGAGAGAGAGAGGGAGGGAGGGAAGGAGGGATGAAGGGAGAGAGAGGGAGAGAAGGAGAGAGAGAGGGAGGGAGGGAAGGAGGGATGGAGGGAGAGAGAGAGAGAGACCCGGCAAACATGGCACCGTCTTATAAAGGCCAGGGTGCATCTGCACACACAGGCCCACGTGTAGAGATCATGTGGTCAGGTCCTCGCGAGTGACAGCGTAACCATGGGGCATGGGTCACACAGGACGTATGACCCAAAAATGACTAGGCAGAGATGACTAAGTGTCCCGCCGGGTATGTGCGACCATGGAGCATGGTTGGAATTCCTATCATCTTGGATATGAGGACACTGGTGTGGGTCTAGAGAAACAACAATTGAAAGGAAAGCAGGGAGGTGGGTGTTTAGGTTGGCTGGATGAGGAAAACCAGGACACAGAAATCAGATAAAGGAACTCAGGCCACAGGAAGCATGGCCAGGAATTTCCAGTGGAAAACCCAGACATGTTCTGGAGGAGGCAGCCTTGCAGCAGAATACCAGGCAGGACCTGGACCATCACTCAGCTGAGAAGCACAATTTGCCCAGTGAAACAGATGAAGAGGTGATGACTGGACCTAATCCCCAAAAATGTATCTAAGGAACTCCATCTAACTTAGTCTCAAATCCCCAAGGAACTAGCTGAAGGCTCAGAGAATGGATAATGGAAATCTATCCACACACTAATAAATAATTATGCTATGTTCTGTATTCGATACATCTTATTTTAGACTAATTTGGGGATTGAAAAGCTTGCTTGATGTGTCATTAATTCCAGTTTATTTAAAAAGACAACAAGCTAGTGAACGGAGTACCCAAACTCTGTGCAAGAGAAAGACTCGCTTCTTCCTTGGTCTACCCAAAACATCCCCTAGGCTGAAGAGCTGCTCCTCTGCCTCATCCCTGCTCCTGTCTCCAAGCCCTGCCTCCTACCTGCCATTACTTCACTAATACTTCTCTGTCCAGTCTATTCACTGGTAGAAAAATCAGGAGCATCAGTGAGGATGAAGTCAGGAAAGGCTCTAAGTTGCCGAATTTGTTGGTACAAGCCATAGTAATTTCTGTTGTCTTTTTTTTTCCTTTAAAATTGCAATGCATCCTCATTTTCTGGTTCCCTCTTTTTCTGTGTCTTTGCTTTGTTCAAATACTTTGGTAGCAAATACTCACTAAAACATGCAGAAGGCTGGTGGAAACCTTGGGTGGAGTCCCAAGTCTAGGGCTGAACTTAGGAACTAGGATTGTTCAAAAAAAAATTATATTTCAATCTTAGGAAACTGAACTATATAAAACCCAATAGATTTTGAAAACTGCCTAGGGACAGCAAAGATCAGCCTGCTCTGTAAACCTTTTGCTACCATTTTTATATAAATCGCCTATTGTTAGAATTTGTTAAAAATTCAAAAATCATCCTTTAAAATGTTGTAAAGAAAAAGAAAAAAGAACATTACAAAAGATTCAAAATGGAAACAGGATAGCAACCATAGAAAAGTGGACCAGCCATCTTCACAGTGTGAGGAGACAGAGTCACTAGGAGCAGTCCTCAGTCCCCATGAAAAGACCATGGTGAGGGAAAGGGACAAGAAAATGATAACGGAGGGAATAATGAGCAGCCCGCCATTTCTGGTGGAGGTACACAATCAACACCAAGGAACTGCCATGGTAAGCAGTTTGAGATCAGATGCGAGGACATGCACCACTGAGATGCTATGGCATTCTCTAAAGGGCCAGACGTAACCCATGAAAGCTCTGAGATTACCAGTCATCTCACAGTACAAAGCACTGGGTAATCAAAGATACTGCAAGGAACCAAGAGCTAAATCCCTGTGTCCTTGATGCATATGCAACAATATACGCAATATGTCTGTCACCTACTGAAGCATTCCCTTGGGGTAACCATAGGAGAAAGCAAACTTCTAAAAGGTTGCGTGTGTGTGTGTGTGTGTGTGTGTGTGTGTGTGTGTGTGTGTGTAGCAATCATAATGAAAGAAAAAGATGGTATCAGTTTGACAGTTTGAGTCTCTGAGACCCATAGTTTCTTCAAGTTTGACTGTGAGTTTGCCTTTGAACGATAACAGCAGTTGAAGGAAATAATTAATGCAATGCTAATTATGTATAATCAAATCTGCTTCTAAAGATGAAAAAAATAAGTCTTGACAGTCAAGTGTATTGCTGACTTTCATGCATCTGAGTTTGACATATGTTTGTAAGTTAGTCTGGGCGTGTTTGCAGGGCCACATGTGTTCACTGTTTGCTTGTTTGCAGAATGCATCCTCTTACCGTGTAAATGAAGAAAAGCATATTCTCTGCAGCCAATCCTGACCAAGTTTAAATGCTGCTGGCAGGGACATGACAAGTGGCACAGCAGCCACTTTCATATCTTTCATTCACAGTATCTGTCCTTGCCTGCAGCTGACATCCAAAACCACACTTGCTGTTTGTCTCACAGTGAGTGTGACGTTTGGACCCAATCTGAACCATTTTTATTAAATTTGAGATTGTACATACACAGTCTTATGGCTATGACAGAGTTTAAATCCTCTGGGAGCTCCCTCCAACTGGCCTGGGCAGTGGCATCTTCTCAGTTTAAATTCAAATATAATAATCTTTTGAATCGGCAGTGAAGGGTTTTCAGAGTGCTGCACTTTGTATTCTATATTATGGTTTAGCTCCAGGAACCTCACAAGCAGGAAGTCCGAGCCATCGCTGGTTTACTGCGGCGAAGATGGGCTCATTTTGTGGTTAGTGATTTCAGGACATTTGTTCCTGAAGATATAATTTATAATACAGATCTGAAATATATAATGAATTTTTATTATGAAAAGAATGCATATAAACAATTAAAGTAATAAAACAAAGGAAATGTGATAAAGGGTAAAATCACTCCAAATTCCATCACCAGAAGGAAAAGGCAGGGTCTGTAATTCCAGTATTTACTCTGGTTGTGGTAAGTAGAATTTCCATC